ATCCCTCCCTCCCTCCCTCCCTCTACCTCTACTTCTACCTCTCTCCCTCTATTTTAGCTCAAGCCAAGTGAAGCAGAGGGATGCATCACCATGCGGTGGAACCACAAAGGGTGAACCATGCACTAACAAGGCTCTTCCATTCACTAAACATTGTTTTCAACGTATCCTTTTCATTGTTCCTCTGTTTATTTGCGGTGGATGAAAGGGATGAATTTTGGTCTATTGTTGTTTTCAGTAAATAGCACTTGACATCTGTATTTGGTTGTACTTCTTTTGCACTGTGCATTAAGACAGCAGATTGACTTCTAAAAGTAGGCCGGTATAATTGATTTATAAGGCAAGAAAGCCTAGTTGGAAAACTAAGCCTGCAACTCCCTACTTAGAAATAGTGAGTACAGCATAATTTTGTATGATTTTAATGACTAGTTTATTGGTTAAAATTTCAGCATTTTTTTTAATAGATAAAAAATAAAGATAAAATGGTGAATGCATTAACTGTAGGAGCACATAAGTTCTGCTAATTATTTTATTTATTGTTATCAAATTTCTGCTGAATCTTCAGGACTCAGGAATATTTAAAATATACTAAAATGCAGCAAAAATCCAAAGAATAATAAAATATTAAAATATAATATGTAATAATAACAACAGACATCTATATAGTAGCAATCATAATTCTTTCTTAAAGATAGCCCAGGGAAGCTTCATCTTTAAGCTTCTGGAAAGTTATCAGCAAGGGACCCGTGCTAATTTCTAGAAAGAGCTTGTTTCATAATGTAGATGTTATGGTGTGGAATATCTCCCAGGAGAAGGGGTATCGCAAATCTCCTGAGGGGAATTTATCAGTTGGGTTGAATACGGTTAGATAGATAGTTCTGTAAGTATCCAGGTGTCAAGCTAAGAGCATTATTAATTAAAACTAGCGCTTGGAAAACTATTGGCAACCAACGTAGGCTACAAAATAGGTGCAATATGTTCATCATGATTCATGTCGGCCAGCAAATGAGCTACTTCATGCTGAAGACCATTCTGAATGGTCTTCAAAGGCACCAAAGTAAAATGAATGGCAGCAATCCAGTGGTGGGTTTCAAAAAAAATTGGAACCTCTTCTTTAGGTGTGGTCTACTTTCCGGGTCCACTGGTGGAACCTCTTCTAACCGGTTCCGTAGATTTGACGAACCGGTTCTACCGAACCGGTAGGAACCCAGCTCTGCAGCAATCTAACCAAGGAACGATAAGGGCGTGAGTCCCTATTGCAAGCTCCTCCCACTCCAAGTAAGGTTTCAACTTTGCAGCTGATGAAACTGCAAAGGCCTCCCTGACGTGGTCTCCCTGTCCATTTAGCAAAAGCTGTGAGTCCGGGAACATAGGAAATGCAGAAGCAATGAAATAAAAAAGTAAATATTCCAAATTAGATTAAATGAGCTCAGAATTTTAACGTCTTCCTTTTACCCTGTTCTTCATACTTTATACAGTCACTTAAGTGTCTTTCTTCCATTTTTTTTGTTATGCTTTTAAACACAGGTTTATCCTTAGTTTATATTCTTTCTAGGCACGAAAAAACCGACAGTTGTAAAGTAAGCAATGTAGGCAGGAATGTCAACACAGAAATAACCTTGTAGATGAAATAAGAATAAAATATCTGAAAGAAAATAGCACACTACATAATCATAATGCTGAAATGTTTTAAAAATTTGGTCATGCAAGATACTTCTAGGTTGGAGTGGAACAATTAAACGTTTTAGCACAAGCTACAGACTTGTGGATTGTATTTTGTTTTCATTAAAAACCTAAAGATCAATAGAAGATGGTACAGAAGACATATACTTAGTACACTCATACTTTTAAGTATGTGTTCTGAGCCCCAACATCTGTTTTCAATACCAGTAATAAATGAAGCTTATGGCACTGCTCCTCATTAGGACTTCTGTTTGTCTTGCCTTCTTCATTTCAACAGTCTGTAGAATGGGAGAGAGTCACTTGCGGTTGATATTAAAGAAGTTAGTAATCCTTCCAGGTCATTCAGATATTTTCATTCCATCCTTCATGTTATATGCATTAAATTCCTTTACAAATCCAGCAGCCATTATCTAAAGCATTGTCTGTACAAGAAACCAATCCCATGAACTATATTTATTTGTGCAATTAGTTATATCAGTAAATCAGCCTGCCTTTCACACACCATAGATTTTATCATCTAGCTCCGGGATGGTGAACCTACGGCACGCGTGCCGCAGGTGGCACACGGAGCCATTTGTCAGGGCACGCATGCGCACGGTGGCCAGCTGAGTTCACCCTTTTTTAAAGCCATTTTCCGCCCTCCCCAGGCTCCAGAGGCTTTATAAGAGCCTGGAGAGGGTGAAAAGAGCCTCCCCCGCCCTCCCGGAGGCCCCCTGGAGGCTTCATGAGCTTGCCGGAGCGCAGAAACCTGGCCCTACGGGCAAACAGGAAGTTCAGGAACAGAGTTCCGGTTTGCTCGGAGGGGCATTTTGAATGCTCTGAAGGCTTCAGGGAATCTTCCCGAAGGTCCCTGAAGCCTCCGGAGCGCTCCAAACGACTCTCCGAGCAAACCGGAAGTCACTTCTGGTTTGCTCAGAGGGTTGTTTTAAGTGCTCCGGAGGCTTCAGGGAATCCTCCTGAAGGTCCCTGAAGCCTCCAGAGGGCCTCCGGAGGGGCGGGGGGGGGCTTTTTTCGCCCTCCCCAGGCTCCTATAAAGCCCCTGGAGCCTGGGGATGGTGAAAAAAGCATGCAAAAAATTGGGGGGGAGCATCTGTAGTGCACACATGCACACTGGGGATGTGTCACACATTGCATTATGGGTGCAGCATGCCCGCGCACGACCCCCCTGCGCTCCCCCCCACTTATAGCACGCGAGCCAAAAAAGGTTCACCATTGCTGATCTAGCTTGTGCTTTTAAACAATCCCTGGGCATTAGTTACATATTCTTACTCATTGTCTTGCTGTACCGGACATAGGTATGCTCATATATCTGCTACAAATTGAGCAAGGAAACATAGCTAGAGAAAGAGTAAAGAGACTCCTAGTTATATACCTTTTATGAGCAATCTTAAGTTCAAATTCAGAATCCTATTTATTGATTTCCTCTCTGTATCATCTTTCAGAAAGACAGGATTTTTTTCAGGTTATATCTTCTGGAGATGATAGAAATCTTCCTTTTAATATATTACCTCATTTTCTATTAGTTCATTAGAAAATAATCTACTGATTATATTCTGCCTTCCTCTCACAATTCTGATTAAGAATTTTTACGAAACGAACACTGGCTCATTAGCAAAATACCTAGTTCAGTAAACCCATCTTAAGACAATAGAAAACCATTGGCAGTTCTGTTGGAAGGCCAGAGCCGAGGTGGCGCAGTGGTTAGGGTGCAGTACTGCAGGCCACTTCAGCTGACTGTTTTCTGCAGTTCAGCGGTTCTAATCTCACCGGCTCAAGGTTGACTCAGCCTTCCATCCTTCCGAGGTGGCTGAAATGAGGACCCAGACTGT